GGCTGGAGTTGTGAAACACTGTTTATTGTCATTTGTCTCCCAGCCCTTATCTAGGAGGATGATTTAAACTTGGTGGACCACAAAACCCTTGCTCATAGTGCCCCTGCCCCTGGTGATCCTCATTCTAGCTGCTTGATTGCAGCAGCTGTTGGCAAGGGGCTACCGTATTTTCCCCTCTATAACACGCAGATTTTTTCTCCTAAAAAGTAAGGGGAAATGTATGTGCGTGTTACTGAGCGAATGTGTGGTCCCTGGAGCCGACTGGTGCGAGTGAAGGCAAAAATCAGGCAAATATCAAATCGTCTGGAGAAGGGAAGCCTTGAAAAGAGGAAGCTGCTGCTTTCCTGCATTCTGCCTCAGGGTCTTACTGCCCACCCTTTTCTGTTTCGTTACTGTGTTTGCTCAAACGGAACAAAGAGCAGAGAAAACCCCTCTCCTCCAGGCAAGCAGAGGGGAAAGCAGAGCGTCCTTCCTTCTAATTCCTAGGGACTCGCAGGCAACATGCAGGTGGGAACTTTTGCCTTCCTTTCCTCCCTCCGGTAAAACCCCTCTCCTACATTCTTAGCCAGCTGCTTCTCCGCACACCCCTCTCGGTGCTCCTTGTCCCTTCTATATTTTTCCTTCCCTCCCCACTTAAAACGTGGTTACAAAGCACAGATCCACATGGATCCTCAGGATCTTTGCATTGGGTCACCCCAAATTCACCATCAGATCACATATCAATGATCTGATGCAAAAACAGGGCTGCAATGGTGCAAAAACGTGGTTACAAAGCACGGATCCACATGGATCCTCAGGATCTTTGCATTGGGCTACCCCAAACTCACCGTCAAATCACATGTCTGTGGCCACAGCATGAAGCACAAAAATGATACACCCACTGTTTCATTCAGAATTTTTTTTCTTGTTTTCCTCCTCTAAAAACTATGTGTGTGTTATGGTCAGGTGCGTGTTATCGAGTGAAAAATATGGTATGTGTGTTAGCATTTTTTGTTGGCGCAGGAAGGAAAAACTTGGATTTTCCACAGCACATCGTATGTGTAAAGCTTTTGATCTGTTTTTGAGTTGGAGCTTCAGGTGGCATTTAAATCAAGGTCTTAATCTAATGAATTAAGTAGAAGGAGTAGAAGCAAGACAAATATGTCTTCCTTCCTTTAATACCTTTGTTGAGCCACAAACAAAATTATATCTGCCAATGGAGAACACCGCTGGAGCAAGCATGCCACATGAGAAAAGGATTACTGAAAAACCAGTGGAAAACCGTTTCTTCAGTCTTTAGAAAGAACCTGAACCAAGTCCACAAGATTAACATTGGCCCTCCTCTCATACGCAAAATGCACTTACTTTAAAGATCCCTTGCAACAGAGGACTCGTCACAACTTATAATTGACACTACCGCTTAAAATATAGATTTAACCATGGATACGTGAGAATGAAAGCTTCAGCTTTAATTTAATCTCCTAGCTTCCAGTTACCCACAACTGCACCACAAACCACATACCTGAGAGCGCAACAATTCCAGTGGCGTTGGCAGAGGACGAGAAAATGGCGCTGGTGAAAAATGTGGAACGTGTACTGTGGCTGAGCAATTTCTCCCTCTTTTGTTTCTGAAATGCCTTTTCTACCATAGGTGGTGATTCATTCACTCTTTCCCGCCCATATCCAGAGGAAGAGGTTGGGTCTGCTTTTGGCTGGCATTCAGGGAATGTTGCTCCAGCCATTAATGAATTTTTTTTTAATTCATATGATGTGTCGAGAATTTTCTTTATGGGTGTACTGGTAAAGAATCTGCTGAGCAATTATGTACTGATCATGTATAAGTTTTGCCATTTGTATTGATGTAAATCTCCGGAATGTATTTTGTATAGCTAACTATTTAGTTCTATCCCCAGTATATTTTATCTTACTGCTATGACTAGTGGCTAATGCAAATGTAGTTTCCACCTGTCTATGTACTGATTAGATTTACTCTTGGGTGCAAGAAAGACTGTCCAAAATACTCTAAAATTAGGACACTATCCCCATATTGCAGATAGTACCCCCAAGGCCTCTTGGCTCATAATTGGCAATGCAAAATTTGGAGAAGTGCAACTTTCAAAGCATGGGCTTTGTTTCAGTTCACGTATTGTTTTGGAAGGTGCAGATTAGGTTATAAATGCAAACTGAATCAGAATACTTACCTATCCCGACTCATAATAGCAAGCTATGCTGACATAAATGGAAGGCACACAGAAGTGATGCTTGGAAGTTGTTCTCTCTAGTTTTGGGTAACACTGGATCAAGGAGGCTGCCCTTCCAAATGAATATTGTCATGAGCAGGCTGGTAGTAAGGAATATATTCTGTGAGAAAATCTACCAGAACAGAGCTTCGGGGATTTTTTTAGCAGCAATGCCTAAAGTAGCCACACTGTGGTGCCCAAAGCAAAGGAAATCTTGGGATCTTCGTAAATCCAGAAGTGAAAACCTGGAACTCTTTAAGACTTGGATATAGAATAGAGCTGCGTCCTGGCCAGTTTAAAACTGTATTGCCATTTCCCCTGCTAGGTGGCCTTTTGGGTAGGCGCTCAGTTCCAGTGCTAAGAAGTGGGCTGTATTGAATGTAGATGTGCACATTACAAATGCCTGATGTGTGTCCCCCACCGCACCCCTGGACTAGATGACCCTTAGGGTCCCTTCCAGCTCTAAAATTCTATGATTTGTTAAGACAAAGCATGGTAGCCTTCTAAGCTGGCTTGCAGGGATCAGGATGGTGGGTACTATACATAAGTGGACTCGGTTGTGCTTCATGGGCAGGTCCCAGAAGATACTGCAGGAGGATTGTTGTGCTTCTCTATACAGTCATATCTCAGGTTACAGACGTTTCGGGTTGCGCACTGCACCAAACCCGGAAGTACTGGAACGGGTTACTTCCGGGTTTCAGTGCATGCGCAGAAGTGCCAAATCGCAACCCGCACATGTACAGACGTGGCGCTGCAGGTTGCAGACGTGCTTCCCACACGGATAATGTTCGCAACCTGAGCGTCCACTGTACTCTCTAGTTTATAATGTTTGGTGCCACAGGGTCTCAACCCATACTTTTTAACATCTATCTGAAATCTCTAGGTGAATTGGATTTGGAATGAAATTTTGTCTCTCACTTTGATCAGATACCAGGAGCTCTGTAAAGGTTCTGTGTAAAAGGGAGGGAGAGTGGGGGTGAGTGTGCTAAGCTTCACTTCCGCCACGATTCCTGGTGCCCTTCAACTCATGAATGGTGAAGGCATGAAGTGCAGAGCTTCCTGTGTGCATGGAGGCTCACTGTGTGATTTGTAAACTTGATTATGCAGGGTGTGAGTAGAGGAAAATCCTTGCTTCGCATCTTCATTCCCCATGATTTGTTGGTTTTTGTGTGGTGGAGCTGTGTGTGCTAATCCCTCCTTCCCCTATTTGCATGTAGGTTTTATTAGGAAGACGACACCCTGAACTGTTATCATAAATGGTGAGGGACAGAATGCAGGCAGGGAAGACAACTAATTCAGCTAGGATTGAAGCAATGAGTTTTTGGGAGGGATAACAAAGGATTAAGCATGCAGCCTGGATTGGGTAGGGCTGCACTCCCTCTTTAGATACAGGGTGTGCAATTTTGGGTGCTTCATCTGTCATTACCTACAGTTGCCTAGGTGGCAGCTATGGCTAAAGCTGTGTCCACACTCCCATTTACTGGGCACCCACTGAATTTCCAGTGCTGGGTTTATAATCCATGTTTATATGAGGTAATCCAAAATGCATAGGAATCCCATATTTTTCTATAAAAGAGTACGGTTCGATGCATTGTTTCTTAAAATAGCTTCACATCAACCAGAGTCCTTAAGCCATTTCTAATTCACACCTCCCTTGCCCCCCATAGCTGTTCACATCAGTAGGGATTCATTAGTATTAGATTTGTTTCGGTTTGTGTACACACCAAGGGGGCACTGATGGGGTGGGGATGTCTTTACCATATGCAAAGGCGTTCTCACATTGTCTAGAGATAAATTAGAAATATCTGGTGTCCTTCCATCTCATAGGCAATGAAGATGAGCCCACTTCCAATAGAAGAAGATCAGTATACTACTGATCATTTTCTCTGTTGTATGTGGAAGACCCTTGATTTTATACAGCTGCCTGAAGAGTGATGCTTTGGGAGTCAAGATACTGAAGGGTATTACTCAGGATAACAAAAGAGGCTGGGTGCTTCAGTAACAGCAATGCCACAAAAGCTGGAATGAAATTTCTAAGAGATGTAGTGAGCACTTAGGTGCCTGAAGACAATAATAAGACAGCAATTCAAAAGTGAGGAAGGGACCAAATCTGTAGCCCCATCAGCTGCTCTTGGCCAGGGCAGAAGGTTTGTAGGCAGTTAATTATTATTTGCTGCACCAGCTCTCAACTAGCATAGCAGAGGGTTCTGGAATGGGCCCCTCACCAGGAAATGAATTGGCATTAGATCTGGCAGATCCATTGCTGATCCTGCTCCAGCCTTGTGCTTGCTGGCTGCTACTGGCGGGAATGCTGCCATGGTAGTGTGTACCCTGTTGCACTTTCAGTAGGTTTAGTGGAAGGCTCCATGTAGCTGGATTCCCCCTTCTCCCCACGACCAGCAGTTAAGATTCCTCTGCCTGGACGCAATCATGAGCACATTTAACCATGAAATAATTCCTGCTGAACACTTTGACACTTGCTTTGGAGTAAACATGCATAGGCTTGAGTCAAAAGAGGACTACCCATGTCTAGATTTCTAGTAGTACTACTCCTCTCTTATGGAATCATGTAGTTAAGACACCAGTCTACTTGGCCTTACAGGCATTCCACTGCATTAAATTCTGTGGTTCATTCTTTCTTAACCCTGCAGTGTCATCCTTGCTCAGTGAGCATCTGAGTAGTCCCAGTTTCCCAGAAGAGATTGCTGTGGTCTTGCCCCCATTTTTCAAGCGAAGTCAGGCCTGATTAGCCACAAAAATAGACATGTGCATCACCTTATGTACATATTATATTTTTTATTATTAAAACCAAAATCTTTGAAAATGTTCAACAAAATATTATACAAATTGCTGTTTGATCATAATATTTGTGAAAGTGAAGCTATGCATTGCTGCTTCAACAGAATGGCTTTACTTACCATGAAATTTTGTTAATTTTCTGATGTGCTTAAAAGCTATGGAAGGAAAAAGCTGTAACACCACTGCACTCTTATGAATCATATTTCTTATGTCAACAAGTTAGAAATGCTTTTTGTTTGTTTGTTTGTAACATGACAAACTTTCAGGGATGCCATTAATCTGTCATTCCAACTGAACATTTAGTAAATCACCTGTGAAATCTTACAATCAGCATTATTCAGGGTTACTCATGGGATCGCAATGAGTAACAGGAAAACTTAACATCAACAGTAGCAGATACATTGATTTATTTTTATTTTTTGCATCATCATCATTCTCCTTTCTGGTTTTTTTAATGAACTGCTGAAATGCATATAAACAACATTTAGAAAAAGTACTTCTGACACAATTGTAATAACTCTTAACTATTGGTCAGACAAACATTTTGGACATTGCTGAAACAACTACAGTTATGAGCAGATTTGTACAGTGGAGAACATTGACATTTTAAAACTTAGAAACCTAGCCCAAGAACTACATTCTACATAATGCTGGTAAAATTCAGGATGATGCAAAACCAATTTATCACAGTATTTTCTCTTATTATCAAGTCATTGCCATGAATATTGCAATTATGAAAAATGATCAGGCTATTGAGCTCCAGAATGCTTACAAAGATTGGGATGATCCAGACCAAGTTAAGCTTTTTTAAAGCACTTTTGAACATGGAGTTCAGTAATAGTTTTAAGCTGATGCCTGGCTTTTTCTCCTCTGGTGTACTGCATACTTTTGGCTGATTTGCACTCATTCCCATGAGCCCATTTCCTGATAATAAATGGCATTACCACGAATGATACTTTTTTCTGTTTTCTTTACTTAATAGTCAGGCTGCATGCTCTATTCACAGGTTCAGTCCATGGGTGAGACCTTCTTCAACACAATAAAAGGGTTCAGATGGAAAACAAGCCAACAAACAAGACTGGATTATTAAGGACCCTGGCATCATCACAGTTAAGCGATAGTAACAAGGGAGAGAATGGCTTCAGTCTCTTTTTACAGTATACCTTAAAATAAAATAAAAAGTAAAAATGCAACATGATAAGTTCCTGCTACCATGGCCACTAGTAACCTTAATTGCAGATGGGAGACATTTACTCCATTTGAACCATCAATTTTGTCCCACAAAAGTCTACTGGAGTCACTGAGTTTTTGTCACTGATGTCAAGAGGAGCAGGAGCAGAACCACTGTGCTATTGGGTGGCCATGCCACATGTAACCTCTATCCATGGCAGCTCCCTTTGACTTGCAAGAGCTTCCTTGTGGCATAACATGTTGAACAAGCTAACAAAATTGAGCAAATTAACTTAATTGGCAAAATACTGTATTTGGAGTTGGGTTGGGTTAGCTTTTAGCCAGGAGAAACACTGTGGTAGTGCTAATAGACTGATCACTGCAGGGAAGGGAAAGGACAGGACACCACAGCCTCATTCCTAGTGCTTGTGCCAAAGTTCAACATTGTCCTCATTTTTGCTGGTTACATACATTAACTTCCATTTTATAGCATTAGTTCCAGTGCATGAAAAAGCATATGCACTAATGACTGCAATCCTGTGCATACTCACCCCAGAGAATGTCCCACTGAACACAATGGGACTTAATTCTGAGCAGGGCCTGCTTACCCATAGGTGCTAGGGGTGCGGGCTCTCAGGGGCGCCAGGCCTAGAGTCCGTGGCCGAGATTTGGAGTCCGGGATTGAAGAGCCAGGCCAGCCGACAGCCGCTGCTGAGCGGCACAGAGCCCGTCAGAGTGCCGCAGGCTTTTCTGCTGTGGGCACTGAGGCAGCTGGCCGGCTCCGCCCTCCTGGGTGCCTGGGATTGGTGGGCCGTTGAGAGGCCCACCCAGCGTACATACACTGCTCACACAAGGCACGTAGCTTCCCTCCCAAGCTGTGGGGTTTGCTTTCCTCCCGCAGGAGCATGGGACAGTTGTGTGCCCCCCAAAAAGCTCTGAGCTGCCCCCCTACAAAACCTCAACAACTTTGGCCTGCCCCCCCTGTTTTTTGCATCCCGGCGCCACATATGCTAAAGACACCCCTGATCCTGAGGAAACATGCATAGCATTGTGCTCCAAGTAGCCTAATAATGTCATGCGCTCCCACAAACCTTAGTCTACTTTACCAAACGGTTAAAGTGGACTCAGAAGGTGGTAAGCACAAATAACACAAGTTTTAATTTACATTGTGTGTGTGTGTGTGGTGGATGTAGACTTAGCTGAACTACTATTGTTTACAGATTTAGACTTATTTTATCATTCAATCAGTACAATTTTCAAATTTGGGGGATTGCAGTACCCCTAATTTGGGTGGTAGGTGAGGATCCAATGGAGGGAGGTGCTGAAGTTGGTAGAGTCAGTCTCCCAGAAGCAGTTTTAACAGGAAAACTAAGATGTCCTCTTAGTTCTTTTAAAAATGTCACAGTTGAATTAGTGCCTCAACCCTCAGACTTTTACACACAAAGAGAGAGAGAGCTGTGCAGGCTGGTGCTGTGCATTTATCGGCTTGTGAAATGGCTGCCAACTAGCTGGGGTGCTTCATAGGTACAGTAAGTTTAGAAGTAGGTGTTGGGGCAAAAGTAGATTTGACATCTACCATGATCCTAAGGAAAGCCCTTTTTCTGAAGCTGAAATTGGCTTTGTGAGAAAATCCCCCATTCAAAACATTTGAGGAAAACGTGCTATAAAAGATGTTATATGATATTTTGGTAATTCGTACACCCCATTTTAGAATAGGGAACTAGGGAACTGGACTAGAGAAGGGATGGAAACATGTGGTTCTCCAGATACTATTGGATTCCAACTTCTATCAGTCCTGGCCAGGATGGCTAACGGTCAGGAATTATGGGAGCTGCAGTCCAACAACATCTGGGATGACCACATGGTCTCCATCCTGGGAGAAGAGGCTCAGGAGATTTACTTTATCCTGCAACAATAAATAATAATTAAAGCAGAAGTTGAGTTTTCCCCATATTCCAAACCTACAGTCTCTTCCACATCATAAAATGGAAAACACTATGAGTCACTTCCAACTAGTGGAGAGTGGGCAAATCAGTCAGTGTTTCATGCATAGTTCTTTTTTAAAAATGGGGGGGAAAAGTTTAGTTGACAAGGAAGATAAAGCAAGGGGACTGGTTGCCAGGATTTTAGCTTGTAAAAAAGGCCCTGGCCTTTTCGATAGGAACCAGCACCACATTGCACACAAAGCTCCCTATTGAACTAGGGATGCTACAGGCCTCTGTACATACTGCACATATACAGGGATCACGGTTTGGAATACAAACCACTGGATCTTTTAAGGAATGGGGAGCAAGGACTGAAAACAATCAGGTAATGGAGAGTCAGTGGAGGCTGGGTATTCCAAACCAGTTTTTCAAGGTTTAAAGGACAGTATCTTATTGTGAACAAACCTGTCACATCACAAATCCAGTTACACTAGCTATATTGATTTCTATATAAGTTTAGGCGTTACAGTTAATGTGATTTATAAAATATAAAACTATGGGTGTCATATTTAAAATATATTTGATTGCCAACAACATGTAATCTGTTTGTAAAAAATATCTGTAACACTTTCCTGGAAATCTGATGGTCAGTGTGTGTGCAGTGTAACCCAATACATTCCTGCCCTTTCTTATTTCTTCTGTCCACAGCCAGTAATTTCTCTAGGCTACGAACTTTCCTAGGCCTTGCGGCAAATCAGGACACATGGCACTTGCAGGCAGCCAAACAAGGTCCTGGCACTAATCTCTAAATTTACTAATTTAGTAATTATTTAAAACATGCATCTTATTTTTCTAGCATGGGGACTTAAATGAAGAACTGGCTCTTGTATAACTATGGAGATTAATTTTCTGTTATTTCTTTCAGTACTGACTACCCAGCTAGGGTTATACATGATAGCAAACAGTTGGATCCTATCCCAAGCAAAATATCCTCATGTTCTAGAGTGTATCCTCTTGTACTAAATGTACTGGCAGGAGCTCTTTGGGCTTGTAGAAGGCACAGGCAGTGACTGCAACTTCCTACCAAACCAAATGGTTACAGTTGTGTGGAGAAACTGTTCTCATCCCAGTCCAGGTAAAGTTAGCCATGACTAAGTGATACTGAAGGCAAATGGGGCTTAAATCTTAACCAGGTTTACTTGGAAGCAAGGTCCAATGGTCTCAACAGAATTTACTTCCAAGCAAGTTGTTCAGGATTGTCACCTTAGGCTGCAATCCTAAACACGTTATATCAGATTAAACTCCACTGGAACTCAATGGGCTTACTCCCAAGAAAATATACATATGATTGTGCCTTACACCACACAGATAACTTTAGCTGGATTTGGGACATGTAATATGAATGGTGTGTATAATTGGAAATACTGTAAAATCTTGAAATAGTCACCATAAAATTTTACTTTACAACTATTGTCATTTTCTTCCAATGGAAGTTTCAGATTACCCCCCCCCAAAAAAACCTCCCCACCCCCACTAAAAGTAGATGCTTTGAACAAAACCATTAAATTGGTTTAAAATACTTCAAAATCCCCCTGCTCTTTATCTTGCTCTTAAACAACCTCATTGTTTTGCAAGCTAGTGCTCCCAGCCTCAGTGAAATCAGTGTGTGCTTCATATTGGCTCAGGACTCCAGCTACTTTAAATGGTCAAATGGTGCATGTTTTAGTGCACACAGAGCATCGTGCTTGCTTTTGTGCTTGAAAACTAGGCACAATACACAGGGAAACTGTGCATGATCTCAGTTCATTTCAGGGGGGCTGAGTGGGGCCTGAGTAGTGGGTAGGGACTACTTGGTAGGCTGTTAGCATTCCATGTTAAATTGGTACGGTGCAAAACAATGTCCAGCACTGTCTGCTGATCCCACATTTCACTGCAGTGTGCACTAGGGAGAATGAATGTGAAAAAACTTATGACTTTTAATATTCCAGCCCTTTAAACGCTATGGAAGCTTTGGCCTTGGACTGTGCACCTTTCAAAACGATGAAAGCAATGGGGGAAACTTATCAAAGCTCAGTATATTTTGTAGAATATGCTTCAGATTTTGCCTGCAAAAGTAAACTCTGCTTTTATCTGATTCTCTCGACTCAGATGAACTATGAGGAATTTCATTCACTTGTATGCACAATGAGAAACTTCACTGGAGTCAGTCAGAGCGACGGCAGGGGACACAAGTATGAGTTTTTAAGAACAGAAGGGAAGTAAGTTATGAGTTGGGCATGTCAAGACAATCAGCTGCAAGCACGCCTCAACTGCATTCTTGGCATTGTGAAATAACCCTTCAGATCTCAGTCCAGAGGCAGTAGAGCACAAAACAATCCATATATGGGATTGTAGTACAATGGGAGTGGGCAGTTGTAGAAGTGGCATTGCTGGTACTATTCCCATGCTGGATAATTTGTGTCCTATTGCGTGGGAAAGAGAACACAGCCTGAAGGAGGAGGAGGGCTCCCATAACAACTGGCAGTTCCAAGGCAAATATGTGTCTGTGCACACGCCTTTGAATTTCACCTTCTTCCCACATCACCAAGTTCATCCGAAACAGCTTTCCCTAACCCAGTGCCCACCAGATATTTTGGACTACAACACTCATCAGCCTCCACCAGCATAGCTGATTTGGAGTCCTACCTTGTGGCAAAGTGGGAAGACTTCCTATGGAGGTGTTGGTGGTAAAACTTGACAAGAGGCTTCCCCAAGCTTTGTCTTAGGAAGAGTCAGTTCCAGCTCTCAGCGAGTCCCCTCTTTGCAGGCAGAGCATTGGTGTTACGAGTTGCTATATCAAATGGCTATGTGGTGAGGATGGAGTTGCATCACTTTTTATTATTGATACCATGGACACTAGGAAACAGCCAACTGCTGAAAGCCCTCCAGCTTACAACAGCTTTGCCAGTGGGGGAAATAAATCATTTCCCTAGCAGCAGTCTGTTGCCTTTTTAAGTTCTGGGGAAATGCAGTATCTGTCTCTGAACAGGAAGCATTTCCTTTGCTTTTGTTGACTACAAACTGATCATCAAGACAGGACCTAAATTAATCTTGCTGGCCGTTTACCATGTTAGATTTGTGTCCATTTGCAAAACTAGCATGAGTTTTTCTAGCACATATCCCACTGTCAAAGCAAAATATAAGCACAACTGTTTGTCCTGTGATGATACAAAAAGAGTTTCTGCTTACAACAGATGTATAGCAAGCTACTGATGCTGTGGTACCATATGCAATCCAGCTTGCTAGAGCAAAAGCAGCAGAACTTTTGTGATTAGCTAACAGAAACTTGAATATTGTTTTAATCATTTAAACTTCAATAATTCATTAAACTTTAAGCAGCAGGTCTCTCTGGTCAGGTTTTATTAGCATGCTTCCAAATGAAATAAATTCTAATCAGTGTCTCTTGAGGGAGGCGAGATGGAGTTTGTTGCATTCAGAGACACAGCTCAGTTTGCGATGGCATATAAAATCCTTGCACGCTGAGTATGTCCAAGTAGTAAAAAGCTTTCATCAAAAAAGGTGGCGGGGAAAAAATCTTGACTCATTTTCTTCAGGGTCTCATTACATATAAAGTCTCAGATTCCTATGCTGTTCCTCAGCTTGCTGTTACATGACATTTTCAAAAAGCTGTAAGGATCTCATGATATTGTCATCCTGGAAGCAATGAGAAAATAAACCATGCATATTTATATTGCATACACAAACAGCTCTGCCAGGCCTGGAGGACCGGTAGAGATGGATTTTCCCCCAAAGATCCATAAATAAACCTTAAGTTGACTATGGACGAATCCATGTTGCAGCCTGCAAGCAGCAATGGAACAAGGCAGTAAGCCTTGAGGTTGCACAACTATCCCAAATTTGCATAGGATCTAAAGTGTCAACTGGATCCTAGTCATGTAAATCATCATTTGCAATTAATCAAGTTCATTTCATCAAACTATAAGCTAAAAGCCATTTCCCATTTCATATACTTATTGTAAATATATATGACTCAGTTTGTTGAACTAAAATCTATGTATAGACCTGTGCCATTGCTTGACTTGAAGTTGTTGCCTTTACATTTAAATATATATTATATACCAGGGTAAGGAACTTCAAGTGGGGGGTGGGAGAGAGCAAATATGGCCCTCCAGCCCTCCCTGTATGATCCTCAGGATTCTCTCCAGCCAGCACCTCCCCTTAGGCCACACAACTGTCTACACACCACTGCAGTTCTTTGGCTTGGATGGAATGTTCTTTTGAACTGTAATAAAGCCCCTTGCTTGCCTGGGTGAAGAGAGATGGGACTGTGGAATACCATTCTGGTGACTTGGGAATGCCTCCCCACCCCAAGGATTCAACTGAAGTTTAGGTCAGAGAGAGAGAGAGCAGGAGGTAATAAAAATGGAAATGGCCTTGTACTGTAAATGCATAGTTAAGTCCCTGGAACATAATAAAAACATGTTTAAATGAGTGCAAATGTACCAGTGTCTATGGCCAAAACCAATTACCATAGCATGCTCTGGATGCTATGCATTTTCTCCTGTTTTATACATGTTACTATGCAAACTTGCATATCATCCAGTGCTATATACTGCCAGCCATCTGTGTTTTTTTTTTCATTCAAGGCCCTGCTTCTGGACTGTGATACACTGTAAACAACTTGGGCTGCAATGCAGACACAAATGCCAGCATGAGAATTTTGCTTTGACCTGTGCGTGACTTCATTAGTACACAAGGAGTCAATTAGGATTGACTGCTCTCATTCCCTTTCCAAGATGAGGTACCTTCTCTCCTACTGAAGGCTTCTTAATTAATAAGCATATTATTATGCCGTATTATTCCAAATGACATTAACCTACTGTGACCATGGTGATCCAAATATGCATATCCAATTAATATAGTAATATAAAATGGAATCTACAAGCAAACTAAGTGCAGAGGATGGAGAGGGTCTCAGTGGCTCTCTAGAGTATTAGGCAGTGGACATTCCCTGGTCTACCTGGAAATGCTAAGGATTGAACTAGGGACCTTTTGCATGCAAAGCAGATGCTCTACCACTGAGATATGGCCCTCCTATAGTTTACCTTCCCTGTGGCGCTTCCCATTACATCTATGTGTAATGTTGAATTAAAGAACAGGGGAGCAGGGGAGCAATCAATATTCCACTAAAGTCAATTAGTTTCAGAGGAGCTGGATGGTATTCCAGATGTCTAATTTTAATCCTCTTTCTTAAAGCCATGTGTTCATTTATTTCACGTTTATCTTGAGCTTACAAAAATACTTATATTTTCAAAATTTCAGAGACATAAGAACCACATAAGCTACTTTTTCTAGTTCACCCCCCAGTTTGCACAAATACAATCTTCAGTACAGAAGATATCTAGGCAGCTGCCACTAGTTCCAACTTATACTATACCTATTTTAAACCTATTTTGGGGTCAAACACTGGGGTTCCGATTGATTTGCTGTACTTTGCATGAGTAACTTCCGTACAGAACTGTTCAAAATCCATAGCAACCTCTTTACTAGTACTAATCAAAATGTCACTGTATGTGAACAAGCCTTCAGGTTCTGCATAATTCTTCACTGAGCAAAGAATTCAGTGAAGTGCAGGGTGGGTAAAGCCTGGTGTCAAAAGCCATAAATGCTTGAGATAGATTGTTGAAAGGAAACAGTTACAGACTCAGTTAGATTAGGATCTCATGAGTGTTGTGTAGGTTTCAGGTTACACTTAGGGCTTTCTAGGCATGGGACAGGCTAATTGTGGATGAGCCCTCAGGAATGCTGAGGCAATTCCACTCACACCATTTCCATTTTTGAGAGTATAAGGTATCATGCATTGTTTTGCATTGGAACCTTCCACCAACTTTTAGTTTTGCCATGGTTGCAGTCTTTTCTTCATATAGAAACTAAAATGCAGCAGCTACTGCTCTCAGGAATCATCTGGAAATTGTGATTTGAGCAGAGAGATGAGCAGAGAGATGGAAATTTGGGGAGTTGTTTCTCACTTCTAGGTTAGTAAATACATAGCTATAGCTATCTCAATCTCTACCTGTATATCATCATAACACATGGAGAATGTTTGCAATAAGTGAAGGTCTATAGAATGAGTAAGAGAGCCTTGCTACTCTTAGTGTGAAATAATAAATACACCCACAAGGGGATAAATCCCACCAGACCTTTTTCTAAGTATGCATAAGATTGCTCAGTTGCACAGACAGTTCAGAACATGACTTGGACATATCCAGATAATACAGATATATGGCGTTCTCTGTGCACATGTACACAATCCCTTTATCTCCAAATTGCAACTGTATGTGCAGCCCCATTGTATGCAATATGTGCACCGTGTCTTCCCTGTTCTTTCTACCAGTGGTGAAGTGCAGCAAAGAATCCTGAACTTCATAAGGAAGTTCAGCCGCAATGGCCCAATCGAAACCCGATGTTCTGGAGCTCTCAGCTTTTGGGTGAAGTGAAATCTGATCTTTCTGGCATGAGACAATCTCTTGGTTAGCTTTACTATGAAAAGAAGTCTTACCTCCTGACATGACTCAATAAACTCATCCAGAGTAACGACACCATCCTTATTTTTATCCATTTTCTGCAATACAGAAAAATACAAGCTCTTTGAGTTCATAGCACTACTGCATTTACAAAGTGCAGTATAATATAGCAGTGATAGGATTCATATACATCTATGTGGTTTTGCAGATTTAAACAGATTCCACTGCCCAGACACAAAATGACTGAAAATATAGTAGGTATGAGTTCAAACATAAGGGAGATATATGTGCACTAACAAATGGAAATTTACCTGGAAAAAAACTTCTACGTGCTGCCTTGGAGCATCATCTTTCAGCACTGGGTAGGTGTATTTGCCCATCATATCATAAATTGCCTTTACTATATCCATCATTTCCTGGAATTGTGACAATCAAAGCACAAGGGAGACATCAAACAGGGCTCTGGCAATGAGTTGACTCACTAACATTTCTAGTATTAACCTTCAACAAAGAGAATGCAGCTAGTTTGTGGGCATCACCCTTATTCTGTGTTTTTCTTGAAAGCCCACACACAAAGGAATAGTGTTGCTGTGCTTTAGATCTAAATACCTATGATTATAACATATTTTGAAATCTAAAATACACAGAGTTTTCCACATTTACTCCTTAATCACCCTCAAGGAAAAAATTATGCTTGGTACCTATGCATTCTATGGGTGATGATTATTATTATTATTAACCTGGGAGCAAATTTGCTCTGCAAATGCCATCTGCTTCTACATCAAGGTAGACCTGGTGAATATATCTGAGAGTTTCAATAGCTTTAAAAAAGTAGTTTCTATTAGTGGACCTCTGTATAAAGTGAAATTAGGCTAATGAACACCCCTCTCCCTGACTGCTTATCTATCTATCTATCTATCTATCTATCTATCTATCTATCTATCTATCTATCTATCTATCTATCTTATCTATCTATCATCTATCTATCTCTGCAGTTTCTTGTATACACACATTACTTTTTACTGACTGTAAAGTGTGCTTTTCCACCAGTCTTTTCTAATGTAATACTAAAGACAAGCTGGCTTAATTTACCAAATTATCTTCACACATTTTACCATTGGCTACTGTGGTGGCCATGACTGTGCACCTACTTGAATCCGATTGTAATTGAAATAAAAAATAAAAAAATAAAAAATGGTCCAGTAGCACCTCACAAACTTAGTTGGTCTAAAAGGTGCTACTGGACCATTTTATATTTTTTTTATTTTGACTGCGTCAGACTAACACGGCTACCTACCTGAATCTGATTGTAATTGTTTGTTTCTATTGTTTAAATAGAGATGGCTAGATAATCTCTTGAATAGTTTGATTTGAATGCAGTATATGGCATACATTATGCAAGAATCTACACTAGCATTTGAGTAGAGGGGTCTGGCTTTGACTGATTTTGTAAAGGAAACACAATTTTCTAGGCTGCTCTTGCCGATTGCTGATGTCTCATTCACCACCATAATCAAATTCAACTAAGGTATCTGGCTTCTTTGATGTATGTAGCAAGCCTTATGAACCTTAGACTGCTCAAAGAAACACAAACACTTCCTGGCACAGCTTGTGGCTCAAAAGAGATAATTAGTTCATGTAATTTGTTGAACATATTGAGGGAGGTTGTTGCCATGAAATCGGCGAAGTCGTTAAGGACTAAAATGGCCAAGTTGGCATATGGTGTTCCATGTGCTGTTAATTTATCTGTGAGACTCATTATTACTGTGGCCACAAATGTGTTGTGAACTTGTTCCCTGCTTTCATCTTCTTCCAAGGAAACTGGTTGGCGAGATCTAAGTCAGACATTTTGTTCTCTCAAAGTCTTGTCTCTGGCACGGTATGTCCAACAATTGCATTACTTCCTGTTTTCTTATTCCTCCTGTTAGTTTGCTAATGTCATATAGATGTGTTCTCTTTGAGATTCAACCAAAATTAAAGTGCTTCAGTTTTACCTAGAGAGTTATATATTATAATTGAATTTGTTGTAACTCCTGGGGTCTAGGGTGAGGGTCCAGGTAGATTTTTTAAAAAATTATAAAATCATAGCAAATACCTATTATTTAACATGTATCAAAAGCCAACTCATAATTATTTTTTCCTTTAAATAAGATGTATGAGTGTGAGTTGGCTTTGGCTCAGAGCCAGCAATAGTTGAATAGGCAGCACATGCTGACCTGGGCTGGGGTGTTTTCAGTCTGTCATGCCAAGGTTGAATTACCGTATTTTTTGCTCTATAAGACTCACTTTTTCTCTCCTAAAAAGTAAGGGGAAATGTGTGTGCGTCTTATGGAGCGAATGCAGGCTGCGCAGCTATCCCAGAAGCCAGAACACCAAGAGGAATTGCTGCTTTCACTGCGCAGCGATCCCTCTTGCTGCTCTGGCTTCTGAGATTCAGAATATTTTTTTTCTTGTTTTCCTCCTCCAAAAACTAGGTGCGTCTTGTGGTCTGGTGTGTCTTATAGAGTGAAAAATACGTATGCTTTAAGATGAGCAGCTGAACAGCATTTTCCAACCCTCCATTTTCATTTCCTTTAAAAAGCTGAATAGCTGCCACTGACTCACCTCCTTGTTTATATAGCCATCTTTATTTATGTCATACAGATTAAATGTCCATCGTAGCTTTTCGTGAACTGTTCCTCTCAACAGAATGGATAGTGCCATCACAAAATCCTTTTGACAGAAGAATACAAATATATTTTAATTGGGGCAGAAAGTTTTCTCCAAGTCTCTGTATAGAAGTGTGTGTCTTATAATATGTTGCCTTATTATAACATTCCATTCTCTGCAATAACATTTATTTACACCATTAACCACCCCTTCATTAATCCTAAGGATACAGCGATGTGACTTGATGATTCTGCCTACCAGCCAAGTCTCAGTGCCTAGTTCCATACCTCCCCCACATACATTTTAATCATTTTTCTTCATCTTCATTCCAGGGAAGAGTTTTGTTCCAAAGTGGACTCTTTTCAGCTCCTGTCCGCTTTCCCCCAACAATATGTTTAAAAGTTGTCCTGCTATCTTTTTATTTTAAGCACCAACAGTCTGGTTTCATTCTGGTTCAAGTGGAGTCTGTCCTTTTTGCATAGGCCCAGCTTATCCCAGATTTCCCCCAGTGCCTAACAAATCCAAAACCTGTTCCCTGACACTGACTCATCAACACATTGAAACTACAAATTTGTGATAGAGAAAGCTACCTTCTAGGTTCTGGCTTTCAACATGCTACCTAGCAACCTAAATTTTGCTTCCAGGATCTTTTAACCACATTACCCCATATCTTTGGTGCCAACCTTTTCACTTCCATGGGGCTTGCATGGGGATGGGCTGTATCAAGAATGAGAAGACAACATGTACTGGATCAATTTCTGTTGGTTACATTAAGTACAAGCTGCCAGGCCTACAACACTTTTCTTCAGAGACATGGAAAGGAAAAGGTTTGGAAACTATGATGTTCAGTAAAATGACAGACAATAATAATTAGAAGAAACTATTATTCCGTTACCTCAAATTTCACAGATCCATTCTGTGCTGTATCAAATGCATTAAAGAGATAATGGGCATACATACTAGCATCTGAAATAAAACACAGTAAGAGGATGTATTGTTAAAGAAATTTAAATAAGCATATGTACAGCTGAGCTGAATGTTCTCCTGGTTAATTTTTCAACTTGAAAGTAGTGATTTGAGAGGGGACACACCCAACCTCTTAAACCCTACCTTTCTCATACCTGCTCACTACTGTTCACAGCCTCTTCTCCCTTTGCTGCTGCTTCTGTTACCTTTCCCCCCACGCTATTCCATGATTTCCCAAGTAATCCCAGCCAGTTAGAGATCAGATATCTAGCCATTTGGCTCTTTGTTTATGTTGTAGTCACTAAACAGAATATGAAGCCAATTTTGAGAGAAAGAACAATGTTTCCAATGCATATGGCTGACCATAGCCAATCAAGGCTCACAAAACTATTCACAAACCCTTTACAACTATCCTCTCCAAAAATCACCAAGATAGACACTTCTAATTCTAATTAAATTATTTTTATGAGCATATGCAAACTGCAGTCATACATGCAATGCTCACAAGTATTCTGATATTATCCAAAATTATATTCAAAATTATACAACAACCATATCATGAGCATTTTTAAATCACGTGTGGAGTCAGTTTTGGTTCCATACTTTAATGTAGAGGAGGTGCCTATCAGCCCTGCATTCCAACCCCTCTATAGGGAGATCAGTTTTCTTAAGCTGATGTGCATCATTTTTGTGTGACTCATCATTTCTGAAATTTGAGCTACACTTCATAGATGGAATGCTCTCCACTCACCCCCATGTGGGAAAAACTGTGCATAGATCTGTTTGAACGTCTCTTCATTAACAGCTCCACTAGGACATTCCTGTTGGAGAGAAAAAAATGAGTAAAAAACAGTTAAGATTTCATTTGCAATTCTGCCTGTTCCCAGACACAGCATTCATATCCTTATACTGTACCTCTGCGCACGTTCTGTACAGGATGTATGCTAGCACCCAAGCAATCTCTTGTGGTACTTTCAATCAGTCCTGTCCCCTGCCTTCTATCAATAAGCAATGACTTTTGTGGTTACCAGACAGTAAAAAATTAAGTGGAAGGGGGTTCATTGCATAATTCACTCTACTGCACATATCTGGAGAAGATGAAAATATCTGGAGATTTTCATCTGGAGAAGATGAAAAAATTTAATTTGTCCATGAAACACAAGATTGTAGAGACTGCTGTGAGTTTGACCCCTCCCCACCTCAGGCAACAAACTTCCATTTGATTCCCATCAAATGAAAGCTACAAGAATCAAGGCAAGTTGGGCTGTCTGGCTATAACAGGGATAGCCAATGCAGTTCTCTCCAGATATTGTCAGACAACTCTGAGAACAGGACTGTGGACTAGATTAGGTTTTTTTTTACATTCTTATGTTAGCTCCCGTCAACTCCTTTCAGCATGGCAAATGGTCAAGGATGATGGGAGTTGCAGTTCAACATCTGGAGGGCATTACATTGGCTACTCCTGGAATGTACATTTTGATGTCTCCCAAATTACCTCCATGCCTCTGTTAACAGGATTCTGGGTGCAATCAACAGGTGGTTACTGTTACCTTTATACTCTTGTACTTGCTGCTAGAACCAAAATGCTGAAGTAGGTAGGACTTGGTCTGATTTAGCAAAGTGACTTGCTTTTTCTTCTCTTATTGGTGTGCCAATATTAACTATGGCCCAGTTTATTCAGTTCTCTAGATGGAATGCTAGGGAGAATGCTGTATGGCTGGGCTTTCAGTGCCACAATGCAATCAGTCTCACCTACTCAGGATAAAGTACCACATATACGTGCCAGAGGGACGCGGGTGGCACTGTGGGTAAAAGCCTCAGCGCCTAGGGCTTGCCAATCGAAAGGTCGGCGGTTCGAATCCCCGCGGCGGGGTGCGCTCCCGTTGCTCGGTCCCAGCGCCTGCCAACCTAGCAGTTCGAAAGCACCCCCGGGTGCAAGTAGATAAATAGGGACCGCTTACTGGCAGGAAGGTAAACGGCGTTTCCGTGTGCTGCGCTGGCTCGCCAGATGCAGCTTTGTCACGCTGGCCACGTGACCCGGAAGTGTCTCCGGACAGCGCTGGCCCCGGCTTCTTGAGTGAGATGGGCGCACAACCCCAGAGTCTGGCAAGACTGGCCTGTACGGGCAGGGGTACCTTTACCTTTTATACGTGCCAGAATTAACCACTGATTCAATGTTATTGTTAGGTTACTTTAGATGTGGATTTAATGGTCTTACAAGGATCCACCTCATTAGATGGTAATGCATAGTACTGCACTTTAAACTGAGGTAAACCAGCCTTGCTTACACTTCTGCTTATTCTGCTGAGTGGGCCTGGACTTCTGCCCCAAAGTCCTGCCCAAACCAACAGTACAGCCAATGAAACCTGAATATTTTCGTTTATCATTTCTCTTTGCATTTCTTTTATGCTATCCTTATTCCACTGCTACTACATCCAGGTGGATGAGCTCTAATGCAGTCAAAGAAAACTTTTATTATTATTATAAGCCTGAATATCTAGGGAACATTTGGAAGCCCGAATATCTAGGGAGCAGCATTCAAAAGCAGCATTTTATCTTTCAGATATTTGAATATCTTTAGGGCAAAAGATGCTTAAATAGAAGGGAATGAAAAGAATGAATGAGAATTAAAGTTAATCCCTCACTTGGAGGCACCACAAGTGCTGACAATAACAATAGTAAAAATTGAAGCGCTGAGGAGTGAAAGAGAGGCTTTTGAACAAGCAGACAATGAGCCCAATCCTACTAAAGCTAAGCACCATTAAGTCCCGTTGGTTTTCCTGGGAGACTTAAGGACACACTTAACCAGAATAAATCAACAAATACTTTTCAGAACAGAAACAGGAGAGAATATTTATTTTGTGACATCACTGGTTTATCATATATGAACCAACATATAAAAATAAAGGAACTTAGCCATTCAGAATCTGGAGTGAAATTAAACCCCAATATTACTCATATAGTAAAAAGGTAAAGGTACCCCTGCCCGTACGGGCCAGTCTTGACAGACTCTAGGGTTGTGCGCCCATCTCACTTAAGAGGCCGGGGGCCAGCGCTGTCCGCAGACACTTCCGGGTCACGTGGCCAGCGTGACATCGCTGCTCCGGCGAGCCAGAGCCGCACACGGAAACGCCGTTTACCTTCCCGCTAGTAAGCGGTCCCTATTTATCTACTTGCACCCGGGGGTGCTTTCGAACTGCTAGGTTGGCAGGCGCTGGGACCGAGTGAAGGGAGCGCACCCCGCCGTGGGGATTCGAACCGCCGACCTTTCGATCGGCAAGTCCTAGGTGCTGAGGCTTTAACCCACAGCGCCACCCGCGTCCCATTACTCATATAGATCCACCCATATATGCAGAGTTGGAGGGAGAGGTTTGACAGACAGACAACACAGGGGCCGATCCTGATCTAGCATGATGGATAGGGAGACAATCATTTGCCTCAATTGCAGGCCTGGTCAGAATCGGGTCACTTACACCTCCCCCATCCACAAGGATAGAGGCTTCCACACTGGCTATGCCCCCCCCAAAAGCTTTCAGTTAATTATGGAACTCTGTCCCATGTGTTTCTCCCTCAGATACAGGAAAAAAAGAATGTCAGTATTGATAGCAAAATCAGAAGTAATTCAATCGGACTCAGCCCTAGATAAGTGAGTATAGGGCTGCAGCCTAAGTGACCCAGTCATCTTTCCTTTGTATTGATAGCCCAGAAACCCTGTGTCTGTGCCATTATGGAACAAAGATAGATGCTGATCTGTTATCTTGTCACAGTCTGCAGCTTGAAGTTGTTCTACCATGTTCTAATTAATATTCTCACTTGTTACGAGAATATTAATTAGATCTGGTTAATTGATTAATTAAATTAATGAGATCTGGCTCCTCCCAGATTTTGCTGTTTCAGCAGACTTTATAGGAATATTTGCCACTAGAGGCCCTACTGCAGGGGTAGCCAATGTGGCACCCTCCACACGTTTTGGACTTGTACTTCCATCAGCCCCAGGCCACCTGGACAAAGACCAGGGACGTTGGAAATGTAGGACAGGTTTCAACTAACTAGCCCCACTAGCAGAAGCCCATGAAAGAACTTCTGCTAGTGCAACAGGGCATTCTTCTATCTGCTCCCAGCAGCAGCAGCAGCACCCAAAATTGACTGGGGGTGGTGGTGTCAGGAGATTCCCCAGAAAGAGGAGAGGTGGTATTGTTCCATATCGCAAGCTAAAAATTGCCATAGCACTACATTGAATTTATCCCATAGTCCGGGGGGCCACTAGGGGCGCATCGGAAGATGGCTGACAATAACATCTCTCCCACCCACAGGGGGTAATTAGGAGGCTGTGATGGGAGTAAATAGCCTCCCTACCCCCCCAAGATTGTGGGGGGGCTGCCCTTGCCTGCTGTGCCCTATACCACCCCCAAATTTGCGGGGATGGGGGCACTAGGCAGAATGCCCTCCTGTGGATCTCGGTGCTCCTGGACGCTGTCTCTGATCCGCGCCACTAGCTGCAAGAACTTCAAAAGGAACAATTAGGAAGAAGCGAATGCACATATTTCAAGGAGGGGGAGTAAAGACTGCTAACTGAAGAGTTCTCTGATAAACAAGACGAGTCGGAGGAACAAGAATCAATCATGAGAAGATATGCCAAGACTCAGTATGGCAAAGGGACTGGAGGGGGGAGGGGGGGGGAAACTTTCCTTTCTTTCCTCTATGTGATTAAACAAGAATCCCCCCCCCTTCACAAGTCAGAAATGCCATTTTAATGACTTAAGCTGTGGATTTACGACTGTGTGGAGATAAATTTTCTAACCAAAGCATGTTTTAAGAAGAGCGTGGAAGGTTTAAGAGCTCTGGAATGACGCAGTTAAAAATACCGTCGCCATATTGGCAAGCTCTGTCGGAGGACTTGAGTCTGGGAGGAGGAAAAGAGCTGTTTTTATATTGTGGGTGAGACTCCTCAGTGGGACTTAAGAACGACAGATCCTGAGATTAATGATGGAAAGAGCGATGTTATTTATGAAAGTGAAGAAGAAGAAGAAGAGTTTGGATTTGATATCCCGCCTTTTACTCCCTTTAAGGAGTCTCAAAGCGGCTAACATTCTCCTTTCCCTTCCTCCCCCACAACAAACACTCTGTGAGGTGAGTGGGGCTGAGAGACTTCAAAGAAGTGTGACTGGCCCAAGGTCACCCAGCAGCTGCATGTGGAGGAGCGGAGACTCGAACCCGGTTTCCCAGATTATGAGACTACCGCTCTTAACCACTACACCACACTGGCGTGATGATATATGGAAACCATCTCGATATGAGGATTGGACAAACGGAAAAATCCACACAGGATATAATTGGTGTTTTTCTGCTTAAGGAGATTATCAGAAGAGATCTTAAAGAAAAAAGAAAAAATATACGAACAAGATGAGATGTGGAAACAGCAAGATAAGACTGGATAGAATTATGAACTTTATTTGGACTGATTTGGATATGAACGCAGTAGCAAGAAGATGATCGGAATCCCCCTTCGGATCTTGAAATATGGGTCCCCTCAACAAAAAATTAAAATTTGGCTTTGTAATTCGGAATTTATGTGATGTGATTTGATTTGATTTGATTGGTCGGTTAATAAAAATTATTTTTTTTTAAAAAAAAGAATTTATGCCATAGTCCAGAACATTCCTGATATGATAGTATCACTGTCGTGCATGCACAACTAAAATGTTTGATGTTCTCCCTACATCATTTTTAAAATCATTTTTTATAGTTCACTATGATCTCTGGCAATATTTTGAACAAAACCTTCTGGAACAGTATAAAAAGGCAATCTGGCCATTGATCATCTAGTTTCAGCTTTCTGTGACTGGACTGCTTTCAGATGCATCTGCTAATTCCAATTCATTTGTACCTAAAATGATCACAATTTTGTTTCATAAGACCCAATAATGCTCAAGAGACCTCATTAGTAGGGGAGAATAACTTAATATGGCTGACTTGCCAGGCTTATTTCTTGTGAAACGAAGCAGGTATGCCCCTTAGTTTGATTTCTACTGGAGGCTGCATAGCTATTTAAGACTTGCTTATGAAGACTTTGATTAATCTTCTGTCTGGTTAACACACAATGCATTAATATAACTTTTTTTAAAAGTGTATACACAAAAAATAATTAGGGTGTTCCAGTACTCTTCCATCATTCCATAGTTTAAGCATTCACAGAATTGGGATATCAAAGCTTATAATGAAAACATGCCCCTATTTATTTTGCCTTTTATTGTGAAATAACTAATGGCTACTGGATACCTCCCATTTATTTCAATGGACTCAACAACTTGAAGCCAGTTCCGCTTACCAATTCACTCTTACCTATGCCTGCTTCAAACGCAGTAGTATTTACTTGGAAATTGCCATTCTTTGTTGTTCATACACTTTGTACAAGGGATCGACATGAGAAGTGTGGAGGAAGAAGTGGCCTGGTTCGCACACAATGCAAAATCATGGTTTATTAAACTAAGGTTTATTAACTTTAGTTTAGCACTATGTGTGAGCCCTGCCTAGAACGTAATTATGCTTTATTTGCTACCAACCATGACCAAAAGCTATGATTTTGTTATTTGCTCACAAGTCTTAGTTTTTTTTAAAACTATGTATTGGCATTTTTTGAAAACCCAGACCAAGGGTTTGTTTTGTCTTAGTCATTATTGGTTTGACACCCTGCCCCAGATGCTGATAACCCTGTGTGTAACCCTTTATCAAGAAACTGTATTGCAAGAGAATAAAAAAATGAAAGACTTGCATACTCTCCTCTTAATGTGCTTATTCTCTCTTTCACCAATTTTGATTTTTGGAGTGGAGCCTGTTGGAGTGCTGAGACCTGTTCTCTGGCCTCAGCAATCAGTGTTTTCCTTGAATGAACTGTTTTTCACTATGTGGCCCTTGGCTGGTCCCACACAGACCATGAATTTTAAAACAAAACAAAGCACAATTACACTGCATGGCTTTCTTGGCTAGTCTGCAGATCTCCATTAAAGTGCACACCAATTTTTTTTAGCAGCGTTCTGCTACATGATAAAAAGTCAAACTAGGTATATACCTACCCCTTCACTTATTACAATTTTCTCTCCCTTTCCTTTCCTGCCAAAACTAAGACCGTGAGCTGCTTGAAGCACCACCTACACATGTCTTGATTTGCTTATTTGACTTTGCCATATATATATCCCACCTTATTCCCAAGGAGCTCAAGGGGCATACACGATGCCTCATCACCTTCTCGTTTTTTATTCACAACAGTAGTTTGTGAGACAAGAGGTCAGTCACTAAGCTTTATGGCTAGGAGGGTATTGAGTGTTGAATAAATGGCAGATACTGTGAAGTTTTTCTGGTCTTTCTTTTTAATTAAAGGAAGTATAGGGTTTTAGGTTTTCCTTTGCTTGTATGCTTTGTGTCCCTCCAGCCCCATGTCAGATGACTGATTTAGTTTATCCAAAGTTAGAGGCATTGCACAGGGCATGTATCATTTAAGTCCCATGGCCTTGAATTCAATTCAGCAATTCAATAGTGGAAAGGTACACAATAGAGCATTTTAAAGGGACTTCCATCTCTCAAAGAGATATCTATTAATGTACTCTGATCTTTTCATATATGAATGCTGTTGACCTATTAAAGATAACAGGCCCAGTAATAATTCCTGCAGTACATGACCCTTTCAATCAGATTGTTAATTTTGCAGCAAGACGCAAAGAGAAGAGGCACTGTATGTGACATAAAAACTAGAGAGAAATGTATTCTCAAAAAATATCAATTTTATCAGTGTCCATTTTTGCTCCAGCAATCAAATCATTTTGGTAACAAATTTGAGGTTTATATTATTTGAATTACTACTTTGGTGGGAGTGGGTATGTTATTGGTTTACCATGTATTAAGATCTGGATCTACCTTGCCACTGGAAAGCTTTGGAAAATGAAGCATGGCAAAACAAATCCTTACTGTAAGAAAAATCAGGATCTGGATATGTAAATCAGTCACATGATGACCTCAACTCAATCTACTTCTCATCAAATAAAAGTGGTGTATAAAAGAGCTGGTCTTTTGTTTTCAGTCTCTGGTTATATTAATTCATTTCCGAAAGTTCAGTTCTCAAGAGTTCTGTGCTAAGGCAGATATGTGATTAGATGGAAATGTCCGAGACTGACAGGGCTCGGATGAGTGTGTGTTGGAGGCAAGGGAGCTGGAGAGGGGGACAGGGATTTATGGGGTCCAGTGCCACCCATGAAGCAGGAGCCAGGGCAGGGGGAAGAAGAAGGGGTAGAGCTTTCAGGTATGGACAGGGGGGCTGGTGGAGGAAGAGGCTGATCAGGTGAGGGGGACTGGTGAATCCCTGCATCCCCTGTCCCACTGTCTCCTAGAACCAGGAGGAACTTGATGAGGGAAGAGCAGCAACAACTTCCATGCAGGAGAAGTCCTGGATTGCATGCATGCAATCCGTCACAGGAGGGCATACAAGCAATCCTCTGTTTGCACAGGGGTTGCATTCCAGGCTTCGTGCATGTCTGTGTGGGCCCGCAGAAAGTGTTCTGTCCTGTACCTGTTCTGCCCTTTTAGTGACATTTTTTTTAAAAAAAAACAACTTCCAGATTTGGTGTCGTGTGCATGCATGCGAGATTTTATGTAAATCAGTCATTTGCTGTATAAGCTCATGGTCCCACTGTTGCTGCAATTGCTCTGTAGGGCCCAGACCTGTGGACAGCTGCCTAGAGGCTAGAAGCATGTGCGTATCCAGAACACTGTGAGAGTTTCTGTAAGTGCTTATTTTGTTGATAAAGAGTTAACTATTAGACATGTGCCTTCCTTGGAGGAGCGAGCCAGGACAAGTCATACTCAGAATAGATCCAGTGAAAATAATGGGCTTAATTACATTAAGTCCATTGTTTTAATTTATTCCCTCTGAGAATGTCTTAGGGCTCATTCACACTTCACTTGTTTGTCCCCTGCCTAGAAAGCACGGGTCCAAGAGGCTGCAGTATTGCGGGATAGAGGTTTAATCCTTTCCTTCTCTGGTCCCAGTGAAAATTGCCTCTGCCCCCAAACTACTATTACTCCTGCACCCAATACAAATAGCAGCTTGGAAGAGGTGGTTTTCTGGCTGGCTGCTGCAAACCCACAACCCGTATAGCAAAACTCTTAGCACTTTTGAAAGTTGGGCATAGACCTAAACAATCTGTATAGAATATGCAGCTCCTACTTCTTAAATCAAGGGGGGGGGGGGGAGAAGGAACATTACCTAGATGTCCAATCCAATATATTTAATATTGACAAAGATTTTAATTAGTCAAAATTAACTGTGAGAACATTAAGAAATAAAAGAAGTTTGGAACTATAAACTGAGCCATTAGGAAAGTGAATCCAGAGACAAAATTTGCTAACTAATTTGTGAGTAATTATGTATTTTGTGTTTTTATACTCTAAACAGCCTCCTGCTGCTGCTGCGCCGCCAGAGCACGATTTCTGTTCTCATCCTGAATCAAAGTTCTTAACCTGAGGTAATATTTCTGGGTTAGCAGAGTCTGTAACCTGAAGTGTATGTAACCTGAAGCGTATGTAACCCGAGGTACCACTGCAGTCGGGTTAAGAACTTTGCTTCAGGATGAGAACAGAAATCGTGCAGCAGCGGCACAGCAGCAGCGGGAGGCCCCATTAGCTAAAGTGGTGCTTCAGGTTAAGAACAGTTTCAGGTTAAGAACAGACCTCCAGAACGAATTAAGTTCTTAACCCGAGGTACTACTGTAATAATAATGTCATGAAAAACATTAGAAAATTATTATTCCTGCTCTAAAGCACATTAATGTGTATGCAGTATTCATGTAACCAAGGCAATATATATATATATATTCTCAAGTGCTGATCATTTCACTATCAGTGCTTTCGCATTCTTACGTTTTTGAATCCTCTGTAAAGAACTTGAAGTTCCTTCTTTGTGAAATTGGTTTGTGCCTCAAGTTGTTCTAGTCCTTCTGGCCGGTAACATACTGTGGTCATTTCCAATTCATCTTCAACTTTATCTAAAACAAAGACAGAAAGCTTTATTTCAGGCACTACTCTTGGATTTCAATATGTGATGGAAGGAGTTAAATGTAATACTAATTAATCTTGAAAATAATATGAAACACTAATAATAAAATATAGCGTCGTATTCATCCAGTTTCATCAGAAATGAAATCAAAACTGACAGAAGCCATACCTCACATTTCTCTTTAAGTTCACCTGTATTTTTACAACTTATTACTGTACTCAAAAGTTAAAAACCTTAAGTAATTACAATCCAACACATTAAAGATATTTTATAATACCTTAAGATGCTTCCAATTTGTCGACAAAATAGTTTCCCTCAATACACAGAGTTGAAAATATTCCACAGCATGCAGTAATATTTTAGAACAATTGTGATATCACAAAGTGCAATAGGTGTAACATGAAACCAGACATGCTTAAACATAGTAGACAAAAGCTGTGATCCCAAGCATACCTTCATGGCAGTATATACCACTGAAACTGATGCAACTTGCTTCTAAGTAATATGTTTAGGATCAGGGTGAACAATGCCTACACCGAGCAGGAATGGAAATTACTCTTTTTCTTTTGTTGTGCAACAAAAGAATTTAAAGGGTTGAAGACACAGCCAACATGATGTCATTGGAAGATCAGTGGAGATTCACCCGAGTTCCTGTCTAAAGTACATACATATTTTTCAGCTTACAGAAGCAGCAAGGAAGTAATGGAGTGGGGTAGTGTACGCTGTGCAAAATATATTTTCACTGATGTGAACGGTACATGAAACACAAGAACACTGCTATACCAAAAAGTCTGCCTTCCAAGCACTATTTGCCAACTTTTTATTATTATAATGACCAGGGGTCATTGTACTTGTGTCTATTACTAAATATTTGTATGTGTGTAGTTTTGAATGGTGATTCTGACCTTGCACCCTCTGCCGGCTCAGCGAGTTTGTTTCCATTTAATAACCTGGCTTGGGTTGATAATCAATAATCATGGATGATGTAATCCAGCAACATCTGAGGGGGGCACAGGTTCTTGACCCTTGCTTTGACCATGCACGTTTAATTCTCCAAGCCTATTTTCACTGTAAAACCCCAGATCTCCCTCTCTCCCACACACGCGCGCACACACAGAATTACTTCACCCTGCTTGTCTTGCCAGCTACATTCTTCTTGCTGCCAAGGTAAATTGGTGTGTAGGTATTCCTCAGAGCTAGAACAGTTGTTTTTAATCATCCCATTTGCTCTCCTTCTAACATTTTCATATTTAATAGTGTCCCACTAGAAATATTGGCTATGAAGAAGAGGGAGGAAAGGAATAAGACAGGGGGAAATTGCATGTGCGCCCCTGGGGTTTTTGACATAGCCTGCTGTGCCATTAGAAGAAAGTGAGCCAAACAAATTTAGAGGATTCCTTTCTGTTCTTGGTGAAAATGGAGGGAAACAAATGCAACAGGCAAAAAGCAAGCCATTCTTTAAAACTGACAAATCATTGCTAAAAAATCACCATTTGTCCCAAGTCCCCAATAAGCACCTATCAAATTCCCTGCCCATTTCCCTTTGTCCTGTTCTGAAACAAAATCATATCATGTTGGCTGGGGGCAGAAGAGATTCCCTCCCTACAATTCTTTAGTGACAAAGAAACAACACATATCAAAACCCCATTGCCTTTATTTAGCTGTGTCTGGATGTAGGAAATTCCAGAAGGGGAGAGACACAGATGCGGGGTTTACAGGTAGTCAATCCAGCCTTAGGGAGTGGCTCAACAGTTAGCAAAAATGTTCCACAGGTGCAATGTCCCTCGTGGCTCCAACTCAAAGTTAGGAACATTGTCACCTCTTGTCTAGCAGTATGGCTGTTCAGTTGTCAAGGGCGCAGGAACCTGCCTGGAAAAGTAGGTTACGACCCCAAAGAGGAACAGCAACAAACATCCTGGTTACTGCTACCAGTCATGAGGTTGGATTTACCCCGTGTGGATAATTAACCTGCAGAGATTGAGGCAGATGGACCTCATAAAGAATAATGAACAATAGTCACCAGTGGGAACACATTTTCCCTGAACACAATAGCTGGTTGTGAGAGGGAGGAAAGGAAGATAGAGTAGGGCTACTAGAGTGCTGTGCTAGTGCTTATGCATTGGTTCCTGCCCTCTGTCGCCCAAGTAAAATGTAGCAGAATGTTCCCCTTTGAGTCTGTAACAAAACACAGTGGGTGCAGTGGCTGTTTGTTCTGCTCCATATATTGGAGCTGTGCTCATGAGTGTTTTACCAGCACTGGCAATGGTCAGAATGCATAAATGTGTTTGGGAGACACTGCTCCTGCAGTTGGGGTGGGTGTGTTACAGTAACATAATTCCGACTAGACACAATGAGTTGTATCCAACTAAGTCACAGCAAAACTTTCCCTTCCTCCCCTCCCCTTGTAACGCCCCCCCCATCCATTCTATGTTCTGGGGGGTTATCCAAACGCTTCGAAGCAGATTTTGGGGTAGTGGAAATGGTGCGTTGGCAGATGAGATGACGGGGAAGTTCTGCTGCTGGTGCGGAAGTTGTTCCACCCATAAATGTGGATAAGCCCTTAGTCGGAGTCCACCCACAAGTTACCTGACTGTTTGCCGGCTACCAAATTTTAACAAGCCTACTTTTCCAGTAGAGAAAGAAGCAAAACCAATGAAGTAAAACAAGCAAAAAGGTTTGATGGCTTTGTTCTCCCTGTTGATTTAATTGAAGTTAGATTTTGGCTGAAATTCTGCAGAAGGGAACTGTGCATAGGTCAGTTCTGATTTCCTAGATGAAGCATGGAGCCAGAAGTCCAAGGGAAGTGAAAAAGAGGGTGCAATGTTCAGTCTGCTACCATATTCAGAACACCATATTCCATTATACGCAGCCCTATAATTCACAGGAGTCACACAAGTAGTGCACAAGAGGCAATGCTGGTGACTTAGGCTATAGGATATATAACGCCATGTAGGTGGCATAACACACAGCAGTTGTTGGTACCTAACCATAATGTTTTCGAGGTTACCAGCATGAGTTTGACCAAACTGCGGGAAGTAGTGGAGGACAGAGGTGCCTGGCGTGCTCTGGTCCATGGGGTCACGAAGAGTCGGACACGACTAAATGACTAAACAACAACAACCGTAATGTTCTTCTAGTTCATTCTAGGTGTGGCTGTATAGATGCGGCATGGCCCATAAGTTCATAGTCCTTCATCAGCACAGGCATTGCAGCTTTAGGCCTGAGCACAATGCATCGGGCATTTGAGTCACTCTCATTCATTATAGATTGCATTCGCAGTGACTTGCCTGTAGAGTCAGTGCTGCTTTCTCTAGAAAGCAGAGCCAGGGCCTGCACCTTTGGCCCTGCACCCTTGGTGGGGGCCAACCCTACCACTCCCTAGTTGCCCCCCCCCCCCCCGCTTGCACAGAGACATGTGAAACATTATATGGTTACCTTATTTTTGGTGACAATAATGCACACCTACTTTTATGTTTAGGCTGGGATCACATTATGGCAGGGGCTATTACTGAAAATACATTAGGAGCTATCCACCCTGAACGTCGGCTGTATTTGCTGATTTATTCACATTTATAGCATGTTCACACCTTCTGTATCTCATCAGCAAAACCATCAAAGCTTTTGTCTCCTTCTAATTGCACTTAGATCTTTTACAAGTATGTAGTTCAGATATTTCACACTCTCAAGTGTCTCTCATTTAATACTTGCTTGTCCACTCCTGAGACAGCCATTAAAGTCTTTCTTGTTCCCTTTAGTGGCTTTCATTAACACTAGCTTCCCTGCCCTTTAATCCCTCCTGCACCCAATCAAGTCTTAATTGACTCTACATAATTTTATCTGGTTACTTCCAGCTATTCTAATTTGCAATAAAGCATATTCTGTGGGCATCAAGGCCTTCTCTTGAAGCAGTTATCATAGACACCATAGCCATTCAGTCGGTGCCTCTTTCCTTTTAAATTACACAATAGAGTAAGAAAACATTCTGGCTTGGATCCAAAGAAGCACCAGCATAAGGGGAGGGGGGGAAGGTGACTTTCCCATACTCTCTCCTCCCCTGGGTAACCCTCCAAACCGTCTGGGGAAAAAACAACTCTCCTGAGTGTTGGGGGATCCTGATGAATGAGGTGCAGGTGGGTAATTGCCAAAAATTTCCCTCAGCCCCCTGTGTCCACCTCATTTCAATGGATTCTGCAAATCCATTGTCTTGTGGGGGAGGTGAAAAGTTGCTGGAGAAGGGTGTGTGGGAAAGCCACTTACTGGCAACCTCCTTCTTCCAGCAGTTCTCCAGATCCAAGCCACAATCAATATTACGGGGTAGTGGTGTGGAGGTAAACAGAATGTTGAAAATTGTCATTCAGGACTGCAACAAACCAAATGCATTTCTCCATTCAGGTATCAGTACAGTGGTACCTCTAGTTACGAACTTAATTCATTCCGGTGGTCCGTTCTTAAGCTGCAACCGTTCTTATCCTGAGGTGGGCTTTTGCTAATGGGGCCACTGGTGCGCGATTTCCACGTGCATCCCAGGGCAAAGTCTGCAACCAGGAGCAGCTACTTCCAGGTTAGTGGAGCTCGTAACCCGAAGCGTGCATAACCAGAAGTGTTCATAACCAGAGTTACCACTGTATCTGCATCATTATAATTCTTTAAATGGAATATGGTGATTTTGACATAACAATAATGTGCCTTAATTAGAAATACCAATGAAAGGGAAAAGTATCAGCCTTTTTCTACCTATTCGAACTACAAATCTTTGCTGCTGTAAAGAAGTTACTTACCACTTCCAGATCAGTCTTCAAAACTAGTTCCTAATAAAAGAAATTCATTTCACTGATGTGGTCCGGCACAGGCATATTGGAATACAGACAAGAGAGGAGAGCAAAAGTCATCTAGTTCTCCTGCGTTCAGCCAACCTGTAGTTTGGATATTGCCAGCTTCAACTGCTGTGATGATGGCTGAAAAGGCGGTTTCTCATTCCTACCCTATGCTCATCCTCAGCTGTTCCTCTAGTGAGAGCTGCAGTTTTGCTTAGGGATGCAATGCAAGGTGACCTTGGCTTTGGAGAGAAGGGGCTGGTAATGGTTGAAAGTTATGTGTTATCTCATAATAGGAATTGTGGAAAGTTGGCTTCTCTTTGAAGGAGGTCCTCTTTGTAACCTTAGTAGATTTGGCAGTAGTTGCATCTGAGGTTGTGGGAAGACAGAGACCTATGTTGATTAAGGGGATTAGTTAGCTACTGGTCCAGGAAGGAGAACAGGGTGAAAGCAATTAAGGATTATCTCCTGACCCAGGTCCTCTCTAGTCAAAGTAACGTGGGGTGTGTTTCATCAACTATCATCTCTTAAAAGTGTTACTGCTTAATGCTTATTTTTTGTTTTTATTGATTCAATATTTAATCTTGGATTAAAACGCACACAATCACTCTATAATGGTTTGTGGTAACCTGGTTCAATATTGTAATGTTGCATGATACTCTCTTTCAATTAGGAAGAACTAGCCGGATGAGGTTGATTGGATGTGACCTTGTCCCAGTTATGTCTGACCAGTTTCCTGGCACAGCATTATTGGAAAAACTGATGGGCAACAGGGTGAATGAAGTCACTTGGCTACACAGGTTTCCCATCCACCAAATCACATTGTTTCCGGACTCTAGGTTAGGGGATTTTGCTTTCATAGTGCCCTCCTTGTTTCCTGGTAGAATCTCACTGGCCTGTAGGTGGTCTCTGATCCAGTATTGAGATTATCCAAAACACTGGTCTCAGATAACTTCAAAATCCATACTGAGGCCACTCTTGCCAATGATGCTCAGGTTTTTGGGACTGCCCAAATCCCAGCACATTGCTGAACTGTCATGTGCTGCACACTCTCAACTGCAAATTTATTTGAATTTTCGATATAATTTTCCTGGGAGCAGAGGAGATTAATGCAACTGCCTTGTCATGAATTGATGATGACTTGGTTCACCAACAATGGCATCATTGGTAATAATTCCTGTAAAAATCTTGTAAATGAGGATATAAATGTAATTTCAGCAGCTTCCAGTCCACAGTAGGAGTATTTGAAATGTTTGTCCCCAGTGGCTGATGAATCCACTTGGTTTTCAGACTGCTGTTGGGATTTTTGTTCATGTTGTTGAAGTCTGGAACAGGGTGGTAGCTTGACTGGGTGATATAACTCTGAGATGTCCTCTCCAACTGAAAATAGATGACACTGCTCCATGGTATAAAAGGTAGCTCCAGGCAATAAACCAGCAAAAGTACAATAGTTATAACATAAGTAGTGGAAAGTTTTGGACAAATCCAAATAAGCATCAGTCTGTGTTTATTTTAGACTGGCAAAGTCTATAGTGGCAAAGCATTCCTTCTTACTGCAGTGGTCATTTAGAGCTCAGGGCTGTGCTATGAGACCTTGTATTGCAGTTGCTTGGTTGCTTTTCACTTATTGTAGCCTGAAGATGTGGGCAAGGTTCTTGAACCTATCTGCATCATGGCCTTGTCCAAACTGACAGGATTTTAAAAGATATCCAATCACCCTAAAACGTTCATTGTAGCTTCCCAAAAGCACCTCAAAGTAGCATGGGCTTTGGCTGAAGACATGGGTGAATTATAAATGAAGTCAACACAGTTTAAAGGAATCAAGGGAAAAAAAAACATTTACTGAAAGACAAAATAAAGATTCTTAGCATATAAGAATAACAAGGAGAGGTTGCTAGCATGTAAGCAGATTCTGATTAAAGCAAATGTATAATGGAAATCCTTTATAACTTCTGGGGTAAAACCTTCCCTGCTTACCTATGACTATTCTCTGCACAATCCCAGTATGGCTTTCTTGCCACCTCTCTCCCTACTGTGCAAACTCTTGTTTGCCCTGAGATCATGCCATGATCTGATCTCTGAACACCAGCTACACTCAGAAATAGCTTCTGGATACATGACCTCCAAAATATACCAAAACCCCGCCCCCCCCCAAGAAGATAGAAGCTTTCTATCCTCAATGAAATCTACCATCACCCATTTTGTTTTCTGGTGCAGAGATTAACAAATTAACCCCATTAATCCCCAAACCAACAGATAACATTTGTATTTCCATATAATATAAAAGCAGAGTCCATACAAACAGTCTACAGTTCATTTTCTTCGCAGTTCTGTTTCCAAATTATCAATCTGCTTCAGTAAATCTTTCCTATTCTGTTCCTGTACTTTACACACACACACACACACACACACACACACACACACACAACGGCCTCTAATGAATGTTTTACTATTATCCTAATCAGTACCTGTAGAAATATCTTCTGATTGATGAGTTCTTCCTGGCACATCTAATTATTACAGCAGATAGGTAAATAATATTTTCCTTACCTATATTTATCACCAACATTTATAATCTGCATGGGTACTTGTCCTACTGTTGTATTACATATCTTTGTAATTACGAGTGATTGGAATCATATCTCCACTTGAATAAGTTGTGTGGGAAATAGAATAAAAAGTATAATCTCTTGGATACTTAAGTATTGATATAGTATCTCCCTGAATCAGTTAGCATAAAAGCCCTCATGTTTGCTCATACATTAGCTGGTAATTTACTAGCCTGTTTCACATTCCTTGAAATATTTGCCTTTTTTGTGTCTCTCTGTGTGTAATCTATCAATCTTAGGAACTTGAATGGAACAGTTTGGAGCCTGTGGATCATCCTCAGTAATAGAATCTTAGGTAACAGAATCTTGTTACCTAACACTATTTAGTTGCACAGCCGTGGCTTCTATAAAACATTTTCCTTTTCTTTCTCTTCACCACCTCCACCCAATTTTCTTCTATTCCTTCTTTTTGTATAAACTAATGAACTGGTATAATTGTAAACTAATGATAGAAATAATAATATTGGTTGGAATCCTTCTATATAAATTTGCTGTTCTTGGGATATCGGATCAAAACAATATTGATTATTTAAGAGATAAAAGAACTAAGAAATATTGTTTTATCTTTTCTTTAAAGAAATTATGGCTGATTATAGTAATGAAAATATTTGAATGGACTTTTAAAATGAATTAAAATACTTGTTGATTAGATTAAGAATTTCCTTAAGATAGGATGATATAGAATGAGCTAAAGAAGTGGAAAGAATGGGATGGAGAGAAGCAAATCAAAGGGGAAATCTGTGATTTTTTTATGATGGGGAAGGAAAACAAGAAAGTCAGAGGAAAAGACAAAATCATGTAGGTAACAGCAGAAAAAAAGGGAATTTTCCAATGAATTATACAAATATAAAGAAAGAGCAGGAAAGGACTTACTTACGAGATCAGAAACTAGAATAATATAGGAAAACTAGAGCAAGAAAAGGATAACTTAAAGCAATTGCTTCAAGAGAGAGATCAAAAATTTATGGGACAGATTAATGAATTGTCAGGAATGGTTTTTATGATTAAAAAAATTGAAGATATGCATAGCCAAGTGCAGATGCAAGAGCAAATGGGTAATAAAATAAAGGAAGTAATTGTGTTATAGAAAGAAGAGAAATTACTACTGAACACAGTTTATACAAACAAGAGGTCAATAAGTTCCAATAAAGGTTGAACAATTAGTTTCAGAATTGAGACAATTAAAGCTGAGAGGTCTTCCAGAATAAATTGAAGGTGACAATCTGGTTGGCTATTATTTAAAGATATCTTAGAATTAGACCAAATGTGTGAAACGATCATTGAGTAGGCATACAAAATTATTTCATGTTATGCATAATGGAATAAACTTGATTGCGACACTTTTGTAAAATATATTAGCTTCTGAGTTAAATATGTTATTTTTAAGAAACCGAGGCCAAGAAAAGAATTAAAAATTGAAAAACTTAATATTGAGGTTTTGACAGATGTGAGTTTGTACATATTGTAAAAGAGAAGAGATTTAAAATGATTGACCATATATTTGAGAGAAAGAGACATCCAATATGGTACCCTTTTAGTCTTAATGTTCAAATGGACAAATAATGGGTGGTTGTCTGGAATGTGGAAGAGGCGACTCCGGTAATAGAAATGATAGAAGAAACAAATCCCAAGAAAAGAATCTCATGATAATTTATAAAATATAGGAAACTCAGTTGAATGCAGTAAGGTTTCCAAGTTGGGTTGCCAGTCAACTTTGTTTTTGTTACTATTTACTGGACATTTTTCTCATTGTAGATAAAATAAATATTTTTCCTATTAATGTTTGGGGGATTGATGATGTTCTAAAATGGAAAAAAGTCTTTTCAAAATAAAAAAAGACAAAACTGATGTTGTTTGTTTCCAAGAAACACATATATAGAAAGGTTATGAAAGCTTACTTAAAAACAGATTCCTTGGGATAGTATATGCTGCATGTGGAGAGAGAGAAAAACAAAAGGAGCAGTAATATATATAAAGAATCAGGATTGGCAGTTAAAAAGATCAGTATTCCGACCCAGATGATAGGCTCAATTTACTGAATTTAAGTGGACCACTGGGTAAGTATATGTACCTAATGTGGGTTTTTTAAAATATATTTTTTTCAAATCTTAACTGACTTTGCTGAAAACAAAATTATATTAGTAGGAGACATGAATGGTTGATTTGATAACGTCTGCAGCTAACATTTCCTAAAGGAGGGCATGGTGAGATCTGTTATAAAAATAAAGCCCTCATTGGCCCATGTTTTCCAGGAATTCTAGGCTGGTTTTGAATATTTCACTTACAGACAAGGCAATTGGGTAGATTATGGTAGAGCAGCTACAAGTTCTTAATGGACTGCCCCTCAACTTTTAATAATGCATACATTCATTATATTATTTGTATGCTGCCTTTCCACAGTTCAAACCAGGTTCAAGGCAGCTTACAACATGAAAAAATTACATAGCTACAACATAACAAAAGTAGTCATAAAAATAAATAAAACATTTAAAAGGACACAAACAAACTGAACAATTTCAACATAAATAACAAGATTTAAAAGAAAGATAAAAACAAGAGCAACAACCACCCTGAGATCTTTGGATGAAGGGCAGTATATAAATTTTAAAAATAAAATAAAATAAACAACTCCCACCCTAGCCCAAGAGACTGATCAGCACCCTCAGCTTTTTGTAGCTGGGTCAGTCAGGGCCCTACCCTCCCAGCCTAGGTGGAAAAGGCCTTCAAGGCAGGATGTAGGTCTTCCAGGACTGACAGCCAAGATGGTCTCTGGCGGGCCCCGCCCTCCCATGCCATGGGCAGGGGAGCAGGTCTTCCAGGACTCACAGCAGTGATGTGCCATGTAAACAGTCTTCATGATTATGCAACACCATCGCAGATAATGCTGGCTCCTGCCAGTAGTATCAGTATACTCTGTTTCTCCTTCAATGCAAAGCATTATTTACATGCCATTATTGGGAACCTCATTTGTGCCCACTTAATTAAGACTTGGTGAACTAAGCCCTCTCTAGATTTACCACATTCATTAGAAGCCATTTTCCTCAAACTATTTAGGGGAAATTCTGGTCTATCAAAAACAAATATTTTTTCATGGGGAGCATTTAGAATCCTTGCTCAATTGCATTACCTATAAATTTTTCAGCTCATCCCTAGATTGTATAGGAATGCAGGGTGCTTACCAATTGTGAGGATAAATGAATTTTACATTGCCTGTATGATAAATTTCTTTTCATCATGTAAAAGCAATTATGTAAAAGAATGTTCTTGAAATGACCACCATTAGTTGTAAAACTGCCATGAACTGCATGGACGGCAGATTTATCACTAGAGGAGAAAGGTCTAATATAACAGGTAAAATTCATTAGAAAGCGGCTTTCTTATTAGCTAAAGGTTCCTTCCCACTTGCCTGCAACTTATATTCAGAGGTTTTTTAAAGCCAAAGAACCTAAGGCCAACATAACCAGTGGTTTCCTTAAAGTTCTCTAGTTTAAAATACATCTTCCCTTTCAACAGTCAGTGGCTATTGTAGAAGTCTCAAATAAACTGCCAGTGCTATCTGTATTTTTCCGAAGCATGCTATAGCTTTGCTGAATTGTGCTCTCTTTGTGACAAAGTCTCTAATTTATTCTAGTATTTAATCAACTGCAACCTCAGAAATTGCTCTCCCTGGCTTGCTTCAGATTTATACTTTTTTTACAAAGTCACGTACCTCATTCATGACAGTACGGATGAATTAGTAGTGAGAACCAGCCCCAGACATAATGATCTCAACAGGATCTGTTTGTCTTGGATTGTAAAATCTTGATTTTCCAGAGTTCCTCATCACAGAGGGAACCTACACAAGTTGAAGCAGGGTCCCCTCTTCATAAGGTCACCTTTCAATTCACAGAGGGTTATGGGATGAAGGGCTGAGCTTCAATATATTAGTATTGCAGACAGCTGCTGGAACATCTGAAGAGGGCAATAATCTCTTTTGGATGGTCGCGTACAGATACCAAGGGCACATTTGAGAAATAAGGTCACATTTTGAATATTTACTATACAGCTTGTTTGGTGGTTGCAAATGTTCTTTTAAGTTGTGCTTCCTAATGATATGCTAAGAAATCTCACAAACTGTGACTAAGCTTTAATCATGGGGTAGAGGAAAATGGTGGGAGACCTGAATTGATTTACCCCGTATCTAAAGCTGCTTGTCTTTGTTCCAGCATTTTGAAACAGTTTACCACAGGTAGAATCACACAATATATTCTGTGGCAACTAACACATCAAAAGAGTTCACTCTGTATGAAATGCTGAGCGTGGTAGAATGCCAGAGGTCAGCAGCTGTCACCTCAAAGTACTGGCCTACTTTTCCCAGGTTTAAACAAAACCTTAGAGGTAGGAAAGCAGCAATAACGATTTATATCACTGTTAAATTCATAATGGGGGAAACTTCTTCTTTTGAAAGTTAGTCAAATTGATTTAAATTTTACCTCTCTGAGACAGGTAATACCACCGGGCGAAGTCTAGGAAAAAGTAAGAAAACAATTTAACAAAAAAAGACTACATACACTTTTTTCTTTTCGTTTCAATGTAAAGCTGGATGGGATCTATTCTTGATGTGAAGAGGACCCTATTTTCTATATGATATGTTTGATTCTTGTTCACTGGATGTGCGACATTTCTCATTGCATGGCCCTGCCGTCTTCCCCAGATGGTAGTATCAAATGCAAGGCGTCCCTCTCCCTCATATGAAACCATATGACGATGAATGACACTACATAAACAGGAAGGCAGCATGCTTTTAGTCATGCAACCATGCAACCAGCAGGAAAGCTCACAAAGAAAGAGGACAGAGCAGAAGAGTTTTGAGGAACGGTGATCCCAGACACTGTGCTAATAAAAATCTTTCGGAGACATAAGATACGTGTTGTGCAATTTGAAACATCTGTTAAAGAAACTGAAAAGGTTCCCCTTTTCAAGAATAGAAAGCTTCAATCTTCTGTTTTCTGGTCAGCACTTTTAAGCAGCTATAGGAAGGAAGAGTGATTTATGCAAAGGAAGCAACCCCAGGTATACTTCAGCTTTACCAAAGTCATCAGAATAATTACATTTTTATAGCAATAGCTCAGTGCAATGCAGATTTTTTTTGGGGGGGAGGAATAGAATTATTAGTAATTAAGTAGAAAAGATAAGACCATTCCCCCCCCATTGGAGTTAATTCACACCCAACATTCCATGTCTGTTCAAAATCCTGTAAATTAGATTGCAGTCAACTCCCATGGGAAAAATACAATGAATTAGCAGCAACTTTCACAATATACAAAGAGCCAACCCCTTTTCATTCTTGCATTCATGGAACAGAGGTCCACTTCTGTGGAGATCTAACTTCATTGCCATTGCTTTGCTCCCTTTCACTTTATGTTAGGTGAGACCCTTAACATATCAAGTACCTTCTCAGTTTCCACTTTCATCACATTCTCCAGACCACAACAACCAGTTTTTCCCCATCCCTTGAAAGCCACTAAATAAGTCCCCCGTGGATTGCTTATATACATCATTTGTCCGAGTGCAACCTGTGGTGTCGCATGAATGTGTTGCAATTTACAGCCCCCTTGGAATTGGACAAAAATTCTATTAACACCCTCAGTAGGGGCATACACAATTTAATCAACCACAAAGAACAAATTCTGTCTTAACCCAGGGTGGAAGAAACTCCAAGTGTAGTCAAAAGTTAGGGGATGTGTGAAGAAAACTTGTATTCTTAACTGTCTGCCATGCTATTTGCAAGGTCACTTTGCACCAGCACCGTTAACTGCAGTTTGCAAAATCCTACATATATTGCTTGTGTGAATTCCATTTTAAGAATGTGAGAAGCATGAATTGGGTGATAGTATTGCAGTATTATTTCTGTTTCCTCCAGCACACACAAACACACACATGTAACAAAGAGAAAATCAATTAATTCTAGCTTTATTGAGCTATAACTACATTCATGCTGCAGCTCATTTCTTATGCTTTTTGACAAATAGGTAAATAAAAATGTGATCTGCTGTATTAACACACTGTATAAAACAGATTACATTTTGAATTCCTGCTGATAATGCACATAGTGAGTGACATTTTACTTAACATGTGCATTTCCTGGTTTGTTGTTGTTTTTGCAGCTGCTGTTTTTGCAGATTATAAGGACAAAGACTAAAACAAAAAGAGAGAGAAATACTACAGTAAGTTTAAGGTAAAAAGCCCACATGACATTTGGAGTTTTGGGAAACAAAACAGATACACAGAATTCTGATGTTGTCAGTCAAGTTACTTTGCCTTTAATAGGAAAAGTTAGCTAGGAGTATGAATAAAAAACACCGCAATGAAGGTTCCAAAGGGGAAATACAGAAATCCTATTAGTGTGGGTTTTTACAGAAATAGGTTTGTGACTATTATAAACTTCTTCACAAATCTCTGCCTCCCTCATCTCATTTCGGTACCAATACCAAGTAGGGATTTTTCTCTAGCTCCCTGTAGGCTAGAAATAGTCAAGAAATATTTTGAAAAACAATTCACAGTGAGCGGTACAATATATTGGAAATGGTTAGGGATATGCTTTTAAAAATGTTTGTTTCTTTGTTTTCAGGTCATTCATAAGAATAGGTACTGATTGTTAGAGGGAATTCAGAACCCCCTAGCATGGTTCAATGTTCAGAGATTAATTTGAGTTAGGTCTTATTGCTAGAGTTCATGTAAAACATTAGAACTAAGATCTGCTAAGGAATCCCTGCTGGAAACTAGATACTTTATCATGGTCTCAATTATCTCTGTGGAAGCTACAATGTGTGGATTGACCTACTGTAATGTGTTCTGCTTGAATATAATTCAGAAACTTAGACTGGTGAAGAATGCATCTGCCCAATGTGTGAGAATTAGCCTAGTCATTTTACACCTGTGGTATAAAGTTGCATAGGTTGCCAGTTTTCCTTAACCCAAGGTGGCTTGAACCTATAAAACTCAACATGGATTATTTCAGTGAAAGACTCCATGCATATGGATTTCCCCAAAGCTTAAGATCAGACAATGAAGCCCTACTTCAGGTTTCAGCAAGACTGAAAATTGGCAATTTTACACCACTCTTCATCAAAACTGACACCAAGAGGTTTCAGAAGGTTAAAAATAGCTTACAAATTATGAAACCCACATATACTAATGCATAAAACCTAAATTGTGATCCCTCATTGAGGATTCATTCAGTGAAGGGGAAAGAATCCCCAATGGAAGAAGTGTAATAATAAATCTCTTCTTCAGCCCTCAAGAAGTTCCAAATCCAAGAAGCAAAACAATATATATGGCAGTATGAAAATGAGGGACAAAGGTTAATCTGGATGGGGGGACAGGCCTCTTCCTTTCTCAGAAAGGGGTGCTGGAAGAAGAGGCTTTTGCTTTTTGACAATTGGTCCTTGATGGCTTCATGTGACAGGCCTGTTCAAACATGATTCCCTAAATCAGAAATAGTAATATTTTCACCTTGTGAGATTTACATAATAAAAAAACCAAAATATTAATAAACAAGATTTACATAATAAGTTAACAGTAAGTACTCAGGATTCTTCAATTCAATTTCACACATACTATCTATATCTATAAATACTAGGCAAAGTTAGCAACTAGTGGAAGTTCACAGTTCCTACAGTGGAAGACCTGTTGGTTCATTGAGCTCAAACAGTGGCAACGAGCAGAAATTCAGCTCACTGCTTCTCCTATTTTCCAGCCTTGACCTTGGGCTTGCCCACACTTCTGCTCATCCTCTGCCTAGAAAGCACAGGTCTGAGTGCTTTTGTGTTTGCCCCATAGCTTTCCCCTGGGAAACTCACTCTTTACCACTGAAACAGAACAAATAACAATGGTCTGATTCAGCAATAAACTATGGGTTTTCCTGGAGGAAAGCAGGGAGGCAAACGGATGTGTGGATGAGCCCATTAATCACCCATGCACTGATACAATGTACATAGGCATTCCAATTTGCATTAGACATTGTTTCTTTAACATTCAGCTCACATTGTGTGTGTCTATATGTGGACTAGAAGTGTCTTGACCTCATTTGCATTTGCCCTAATTGTCAGGTATCTACCGTAGTTGCTCTGGTTATTTTTCATGAACCTTCCTTTGAAGGAAGCAAATAGAGAAATTGGTTTGCTGGTAATTTAGTATTCTGACACACTCCCTTGTATTTTATAAGAGATATTTTTCTCTTCTATTCTTCATGGCCACTTTTTGTAAGATGCACATTTTCATTCTGCCAAAGAGTTTCTGCCATCCAATCCCGCAAAATGAGCATCTGTGGCCTCTGCTCTCTTGCAGGAGAAAGGTGGCTGTGCATAAAAGAGCTGTTTCAGATCCTTCTGTTCTGTATCTTTTTGGTCTATCTTGAATGAATTAAAATCTCAATTACTCTGCTTTCCCCCTCCATTTAAATATGCTTGGATTTTCCTAGTGGAGTCACAACAGTATAATTTGTGGCACTAATAAATCCTCATTTTTAGGGGCTGCCAATGATAATATGAACAATATGTTCACTTGGATATGCCTCTGAATCTAAGGAAGTAACTCTTTACATTTCACATACTGAAAGAAAATGACAAAGTGGTAAGTTGGGGATGTACCAATCACTAAAGCAAAAATGAAACAAAAAGCCTATTTAGTTAGCAAATGTTTCCGCAGTTGAACATGTTTTGCATGTATTATTGGCCTCCAGAACCACACTCCTCCCTCTACTCCTTCAGCTCTACAGGAAGTCCCCTCTTCAAGTACTTCCTCTTCACCCAGGAACTATGCACATAGGAGGGGAAACGATTAAGCAGTCCTGTGCTGTAACTGGCAGCCTCCTGTGACTGCTTTTCAATTTAATAATAATATTTTATACTACCTTTCAAACATATTGTCAAAGTAGCTTAAAACAAAATATCAAAGGATTGGTTCATACATATCTAGTTTGGTTCCCATATTGAAAGTCAAAAGCTTGGAATCTAGGAAAAACTACCTTATCAATTCTGTATCTTTTATATTCTATTGAAAAGGTGTACACTGTTTATGTTGCTGTGAATGAGATCAGAAATCATCATTCAGTATACAATGCTAAACTAACTTTGGCTCTTAAAAGTGTACCTATAGATTGAATTCTCAGAGGTTAACAACACTCTCTTATTACTCAGACACAGTGGCGTAGCGTGGGGGGTGCAGGGGGGGCCGGCCGCACCGGGCGCAACATCTGGGGTTAGGGCAAATCCACAGGTTAGGGGGCGCAAATCCACGGGTTAGGGGGCGCAAATCCACGGGTTAGGGGGCGCAAATTACTTGCCTTGCGCCGGGTGCTGACAACCCACGCTACGCCACTGCTCAGACAGCCCAACAAAGAGACTGAATAAATCCAGTAATTCAGCGGCCCTGTTAGCTAATACATTTCTTTTATGGCCTGGGTGGATGATATGATCCTTTTTAAAAGTCAGGATTGCAATGCAGTACACACAGTGACTAAAGC